ACACATACACATACACACACATACACAAACATACACATACACCACCACCCCCTGCATAATTCAGCTCTGCACAGAGCCCATGCGTGCATGCAAGGAAGCAGTGTTGGTGGATATTGATCGAGTGCGTGTTACTCCTGTAACCAAGCCAGTACTTTCTGTTTTATTGTGGGTGGAAGGAAGAAGGGAAGTGAGTGAGACTGTATCCTTTTTCATATCAGTCTTCGAGCGCCTGCTGGTTGTCTTTGTAGCATAAAAGGGGAGGAAAAGGTGATGATGATTGGAAATTTTTGCAGCCAGGTGCAGTCAGCATGGTTTCGTAAGTGTGGAAAGTGGTTTGCGGGTTGCGTTTCAAGTGAGAAGAAGTGCTGAGGGGAGCTCAGTTTTGGACGACATATACATGTAGAAATACACCTGCCTCATAAGCCCATCAATCAAATCACAATCTGGGCTGGCAACAGACCAGACTGTCTCATCCCTTTGCTCTTGTGTTTGCTTTACTCTTGTTGTGAAATTTTAGATCACTTTGTTTTTATGGTAAGCAAGCAGAGCGTCATTATCTCTGCCTCTTAAATCATTTCCTCGGATATCTTATTCATATGCCCTCTAACTACTGAGCCACTGTGACTTTACCATTTGAAGATTTTCCCCTTCTGTGTTTGTCATAACCTCAGCTTTGCCTTTTCATGTCAAATCATTAGTGAAGAAAGGCTCCCTGGAGGGCTCATACCTGTTGAAAGAAGCTCCTCTGATACTGCAAAATCAAAAGGACCCTAGATCACAGATTATAGTCCCAGGAAGTCCCTGTATAAATTAATCGAAGGACACGCCACTATTGGGCTGCTCACAAGTCTTTTTCTTCCACTCTTGGGGTGATATAATGTCACTGCACTGATCCATACCAGTGCTTTCTCAGTACAGTCATTTAAACACTTAAAACATTTCCTGTCAAATTGTTTACCATCTACTAATGATATTCATTTCATCAGATTGCCCTTCCTAGTTTGCAATTATAAATCAGTTGGGGCAAATTAAATTGCAAAGTAGGTGCCTTTTGAAGCTTCAGCCGCTCCATCAGGGTGATGAAGTTATTCAGTTTCTTTAGTATGCACTGCCAGGCTTTGCAAACATGTACCCAGAAGTGTCACAGCTTTCTCGGTCTGGGACTTTCTAGTCTGACACACTGCTGTGCCTACTGTAACTTGCTCCAGATTTTAACTGATATTTCCTTATTGACATACAAAAGCAAGCAGAGGTGGCACATTAACATAAGACATCGGGTAGAATGAAGGAGCATCTTTTATCACCTGCAGTTTTGTGGTTAACCTTGGCTTATAGCATTCCAGTTGGCCTAGAATTCAAATGTGATGCACTAAAAACGAGATGAAAAGTCTACAGCTATGCTAATTACTTCAGGAGGTTATGTTCAGGCATGGTGGTTCTGTGCGAAACAGTCCACAAACACTGCCAGTCTGATAATTTTAACATGCCTATTTCATGAAAGTCCCCTGCAAAAAGACATTTCTTTTCAGCTTTAAAGTTAAAATTTCAAGAATACAGTACTAACAAAGTTATTTTTTTTCTTTATTTTTGTAGCAGTCTTTTGTACGGATTTGCATGTGACAGCAACGGAGCCCCGCAAGGGACATGGGAGGAAAAAAAAATAACGATTAACTTTTGCAAGATCCCGAGTTACTTTTCGCAAAAGTTCATCTTCATTTTTTTTTCTCTCCCATAAGATTTGGTTAAAAACTAATGGCAGTTTTAAAGTGGTACATTTTAAGGGATCATTGTGATCATTCAGTGCAGGGGAACAAGAATCTGCACCATCAACTTCTCGTTGATATTAGAGAAACGAAGAATTTTTATTTGTTTTTTTTTTTTTTGAGACGAGTTTGCATACTTTTTTTTATGTTCTGGGAACTAATTAGATTTTACAGTCCATAAAGATCATTCAGTGTTTCACAACCATAAACATGACTGGATGTGGACCTGTATGCACACCCATATGGAAAAGAAATGGTAAAAACTTATATGATTTACTCATGAAAGTGGCCACTTTCTCATTACTTTCATACATTGTTTTAGTAAGTATCCAAAACATACAAGTTTCATTATATAATTTTTCAAGGGATCTTATATCTGTTTTCACCCTTGTATGCTTTTCATACAAGTTTCACACAAGACAGATACAAACTTACTAAGATTTATATATATCTTTTCCATATGGGGATGCAGGAGGAAAAATGCTTAAGTTAGAAGTTCAAGTTAAATTTCTTATCTGTACGCTGTAACGATTAGCAAAATATCTTGGGTTGAGTTGCATAGATCCTTTCACAATGCTGTCCACCGCTAAAAAGACTTTCTACCAGAAAGCCCTGAAATATGTGCATTCCCCCAAACCACAAAGCCATGATATGGCAATAACATAACTGGTTGCAGTGATGGTCTGGAGCATCATCATTATGTTGTAGGTATCACTCCAATACAGCTATATCAGATTGTGGATTGACCAGCAGGCTGTTATCCTTTGGTTTCAAGTGTGACTAAAATGCATGTTGAGCTTGTGGTGTAAAATAACCTCTTTTGACGTGCTACTTCTACTGTGCGACAAGGTGACACAGAGGAGTGACGCAACTACCTCTCTCTGCCTTTTGACTGTTTGCTGTGCTGGAGTGTTCATATTTATGGAAACCCTCCCATGAGGGGAAGACTTGCTGGCAGTGCTCTGAACCCTTTGGGCATTATTACTTAGTTTGCTGCAGATTTTTAGTCATGATTCTCTTTCAAGTGGCAGAAATTCTGCAGGAAGTGCTCTTGTAGTGTCATCATGTAACACTTTTAAAGAGTTGTACTACTAAGAGCTGGTTAGACAAACAATACACACAATGGTTCTTGTCCCTGGGCGGTTTCTCTGGAGAGGGGAAAGCACTTGCAGATTTTAAACCTTTGTGAAATAATCTTACAGAGTGTAAAAGTTTAAAGGGAGGGCTAATATTCTCACTTCTACTTACACATTTGTGTTTCCACACTCTACTGGGATCATTTTGCTGGATTCATGGTTAAATCTTTATTTATCTCCTACCTTGGTGCAGCTGATCAGTTCATACAAAAGCTGTTTTAGTTCATCTGTCCTTACACCATATAAGGAAATCCTTTCTTACTGACATCATAAAGATCCAAAAGTAGACAAAAATGGCAATGGCATTTTAAATCCTGAGCTTCAGGCTCACAGGGATCACTCATAGTATTTTAAACTTTTTTACATGAGGATCTACTATTATAACAGTATACATATGGCAGATAATTAAAAAAAAAAGAAAAGAAAAGAATATTAAGTCTAGATTAAACAATTATAATCTCCTAATATTTCCAATTTTGTGCAAGTGTCACTTTACAGTCAAGTCAAATTTAGCTCAATCCTTGATTATTATTTGTTGATTTGTCTGTGGCCTTGTATTTAATATTTGGTTGTTGCTACTCTACAATACCCCGCCAAACAGTTTGTCAGGGCTGAGCTATCTAATAAATTATACATAATTGTTCCCCGGGATTTGTCCTTGGTTTTCAAATTAGCGTTTCGTGTGATTAGTAGCTACAGCTGGAGTGTCTTTGCTTAAAAGCCTCCCTTTCCCCCACAGTCTAGAGTGCATTGTCTTCCATATGGCCTCTGCAGCTTTACACCTCTAGCAACATTGCAGAAAGAAGCTCCTAGTGTAGGATAAACTATTATAAAATGGATAACAAGAAGGAAGTAACACTGACTTCTTAGTCTAATCAGGGCTTAAGCAAAATTGGCAGTGAAATTTTGAACAGATTGTCAGATATGTTTCACCGACCCCCTTTTTTTTTTTGTTTGTTTGTTTTTCTAAAATATTCGGTTGCTGTTAAAGAAGAGAGGAAGAAAATGAGCTGCTACTCACTGGTCTCCTTCAAAATAATCCTCTCTTCTGCAGCGAGCTGGCATTTGGGAGGTTTATAGCAGCATGGCCACAGGGGGAATTTGGCTAAAAAGCTTCTGTTTGGGTTTGTCTATAAGCATCTGTCGCCTGTGCTTTGTTTGTAAGCAGAGCCACAGCCTAGGCCAACCTCACTTAATTAAACTGCTAGAGCTGTGCTGCTACTGGTTTCCACTTCCGACTGTCTGACTGAGGGTTCACGTTCAGGGCTTGACAGAAAAGATGCAACGTGGCTGTATACGCTGATTAAAAAGTGCTTCTTCTCATTATGGTGCTTAACGCCAAGGAGGGATGTTTGTACTGATGTCCTGATAAAAATTCTTTTCTCCACTACTAAAGCTGAATGCAGACATGACACAGTGCCTCTTGTTCCATTTCACATCTTCAGATGCGTTAATCAGTGCTAACTAATGTGCATTCTCAAGCGAGCACTCTCTCCAGCCCAAACAGGCTCAAGGAGT